TGGCCGGATATCATGCCGGCAATCTGCCACCGGCAAGGACCGCCCCGGGCAAGGAGGGAGGGCGTATCAAACCAGACAAATACACTGTCGCCTGGAGGGGGGGAGAGAGTCTGGTAACTCGGGCTGCGAGCGAGGTTGGAGGCCAGCGGAGGGAAAGGAAATGTCCAAGTGAAAGGCCTCCGAGAAGAAGCCTTGGAACAGGTATTCGCAGACCTGGCTGGTGTTTCGGTGGTGCTCTCGCATGCTCTTCGACACAAGGCTGCGATGGGCCTCAGCTCTTGGCAGAGAGTCCCGAGGGAGGGTTTTGGCCTTCGGCGCTCGGTCAAGGGGGAGATCCCCGAGAGTCTCGCACATACGCGCATCTCCATCTGTCTCGGTCCCTCCGGTAGAGGCCTGAGATCGGCAGCCACCCGGCGGCCGTCTTACCACATATTCCCCCACCGGAGAATGCTATTAGAAAAACCCGGAACGAGCCCTGCCCGGACCCGCCGCAGTAGTATTTTCGGTATGGATTCCGTAAAATAGTCGCTCTTTCGACAGACGGCTGGATCTGTGAGAATCCGGACATCAGAATGCCTAGAAGCCGTCACACAATACTAGATCGCTTTCGCCGAGTACCACTCACCTAACTTCTTCAGCCCGTGACGACATGCTGCATTTCCGTGGCGTATTGATTGTGGGTGTGTGTTGATGGTGCATGCGCGCACGAGCGCCCGCCATCGCCCTCTCTCGTAGATCTGGCCTCTCCTAGTCCACACATCTCACCCACCCCACCCCCGCCTGACCGAGATTCTAGCATCTGTGTGCCATACTTTGTCCCTTTGGTGGCGGTCCGCGTGCCGGCCAGCGAGGACCCGCTGCTCCAGTCGAACTCTGCTCCCCTCATCAAGCGGCTGATCGACAGCTGCACGGCGCTGCCAAACCGCCGGGCCGTCCCGACGGCCAATGGCCTGGCCATTTCCCGCCTGGCCCTGCCGGTCCTGCATGCCATCTGCCTTGAGCCCGCCTCACCTCCGCGGCGCAACGACCCCTGGCATCTATAGCCACGCAGTGTCGGCCCTGGTGTACGTCACATGGAACGCGGCCGATAAATCCACCCATTGTTGCTTCTTCGGGGACAAAATGGCGGCCATCGGTGCCGAAGGGGCCGCTGGCAGCTTCTCGGAGGCCAACTCGACCCTGTGCGCTTTCCTCTCGCCTGCTCCAGCCAGCATGATGGTTGATTGGGTGATTTTTGCTCTCCTCCTCCTCCCTCTGTACAAGGGCGTCAGTGCTGACCGTCGTGTGCTGGGGGTGTCCCCTGCTTGCTCTGTCTGCTGTGCTTTGCTCCCCCTTGCTGCTGCTTGCCATCCAGTACCGAGCTCCATCGCCGCATGCTCGGGTACCACGCGCTGCGGACCCTGCAACACCTGGCCAGCCAGGCCGATGTGACCACCATCAAGTGGCTGCTGGATCCGATCTTCAGGTGCGCTTCGTCCTGCCTCCCTCCTCCCTGTCCCATCATTATCTTTTGGCTCCGGAAATTGACAAACGCCCCCTCCTCCCTCTCCCACCTCACCCTGGGCCATGATCACGATGCACCCCAGCTGGCTCGAGGATCTGGCCAACTGGGACCGGCCGCGCGGCTTTGCTGCCCATCTGATCGCCCAGTACCAGAAGTCCCTCGGTGGATGTGCCCTCCCACTGCCTTTTCACACACATGCTTACATGCACAGGCAAGCAACTCCCATGCTCTGTCGGCTTGCCTGATCGACCGGATCGACGTATTTAGGGCTGACGACCTGGGACAAGGCAGCCTCCTGTGCGATATGCTGGGTATGGTGCTGTCTCGGGGGAAAGGCTTCGATGCGATAATCCCGCCGGTTTACGGCAAGGCCATGGAGTCGCCGGCGTCCTTCGCCCTGCCGCAAACCGAAGACCATTTGCTGTGCCTGGCGGACCTTGGTGGGGAGGAGCCGGCCCGGGGTGAGTACCAGTGGGTTGTCCTGCTGGTGAGTGATACCCTGAGCGCCGACCGGTCGCCCCTTTCCTCGGCCAGCAGCGTGCGGTCCTTCGGCAGTAGTTCCTCGGAGACCGGTGTCGGAGGCCACGGCGTCAACCCATCGCCGATGCGTATGCCCACGGTCCAAGTGTCGGAGTGCTGCCTGGGACACGGGTCCCTGAGATATCCATCACGGGTGCACCTACGCATCTTCACAAGGATGCGGGGCATGCTGCCCGCACGTATCTCAGAGATGTCTAGAGCTGCCGCCGACCTACGCCAATCCGTTATGGGCGGAACATCAGGAGCCAACGGTCAACATACTGTGCTGGTTCCTGCTGTCGCTGGTTGAATTGCTGATTCACTATGTTGGCACCCTGCCCGACCGGCTGGCCTGCTCATTGTCAGCCCTTTGCATCATAATGGCCCTGACTGGCACCGAGTTGGATGCGGCCATCGGGGTCACTGTTTGCCGATGTTGATTGGCACTGTCGGGCGAATTGCCCAGGCTCCTCGGTGCAGCCTCACGACTGGTGCAGCCCGCTGCCGAGCTCGGCCAGCCAGCTCTTCAGCCTGACGGTGGGGAATCTCTCGAGCCGGAACTTTGGTGCGCACACAGGGCGATGGGGGGCGGGGGCGGGGGGGAGAGCTGCTCGGACAATTGCCGTCCTTTTGGCCGCACTCCCTCTCGACAGGAGCAACGCATGCTTCGCTCAGATACACACACATGCATACATACATAAGAACATGGTGCTCTGTTCAGCCGCTCGGAGTTGCACGCATGCGCTGCTGCACGAGCTCCTCCGCTCGATGAGCGATGCGATGCCAGACGGCCAGCGCCCGGAGCAGCCGGTGCTGGACGCCTTTGCCAAGGCACATGGCGCGCGCTTGCTCGTGTCCCTGACGTCGGTCTTCAGTCGGGAGCTGACCCTCACTTCGGGTCCGGCTTCCGGGGCGGATCCCCTGTCGGTGGGCGACATCCTTGGCCTTGCGGCGGCCTTGGCCGACTACACCGGGCTGCAGGCGGCGGCCGCGGCGTCCGATGGTACGGGCGACCCGGCGGGCCTGTCTGCGGCGGGCGGGCTGGCTGTGGCCTGTGTGGTGGCGGCACTGGCCGCGGCGGCCGACTCGGCGTCCACCTCGCTCTCGGCCCGGGCAGCGCACACGCACAATCTCTCGGCCCCGGTTGCGTGCCTGACCTGCTCCGCCTGTGCTTGTGGCTCGATCGCCCTCGGCCACTGACTGCATGTCGTGCGGATTCCCCAGATTCCTCGTCCCTCGCCCGCGGCATGGCACCATGTCGTACCTCGGTCCCCTTTGGTTCTGCTTGATTGGGTGGGTCTGGCGTCGGCGCTAGTGACCAAGGCCCGGCCGGAGTTCCGGCCTTCGGCTTCGGGGGCCACTCCTTCCCGGTGGACCAGTCTGCACAGCATGTGTGGCGTGCCGGCCGCGGTGACGGCCGCCGGCCTGAAGGACACCGATAGTGACCTCCTTACCACCAACATACCACGCGTGAGCACCATGCTTTTGGCGAGGGCTAGCCCGGAGCTCTCGACTCCAGCCGCCAAGCTGACATGTCCCCTGTTGGTCCATGTGCCTCGGCCAGAATATGGCCGAGGTGAAGTTTGCTGCTTATGAGCAGCTGGCCAAGTCCTTCGCCGGTGAGGCGCCCCATGCGCATGTGGCTCCATCTCCGACCAGCTCGGTGCTGGCGGCCGGTGCGGCTGGCACCGACATCACCTCGCTGCTGGTCTTTGTTGGCTTGGACGAGAGGTGCGCGCTGTCTGCCCGCATGTATTCACATCTCTTCTTTCGTATGCTCCTGACCCTCTGGGGGGTGGTCTGCGCACAGTCACTGGTCGGTGACTGAAATTGTCGGCGCTGGTGGCCAGCTTAAGTCTGGTGCCGGGGCTGGGGCTGAGGCAGACGTCGGGGCCGCCGAGATTCCTGTCGAGATTGGAGAGGTTGGGGAGGTTGAAGACGATGCTCACGCCGAGGATGAGACCGCGGCCCGACGAGTAGCCCGAGCAGGAAGAGGAAACCGATCCCTATGAGGAGGTCATACAGGTGCTGCCATCGGCGAGAGCGGCCGACTCGCTGGGCTTTCGATGAGCCGATGACCCCCGAGCAACACCAAAGCCACGTCGTGGTTGCTGATGAGTAGGTGGAGGCCACTGACGGGGCCACTCAGCCCGGGGAGGTGGCCAGTAGCGATGCCAAGACGGCCGAATCCTCTCCCGGAGCGTCCTCCTGGGACTTTCCGGCTGCCGGCTCGCCAGCTTCCACTTCCAACCATGAGGAGAAGAAGAAGAAGAAGAAGAAGAAGGAGGAGAAGAAGGAAGAGAAGAAGGAGGAGAAGAAGGAGGAGAGGGAGAAGCAACGGGGGGTTGGTGAGATCGCCTCCGGGGCCAACGCGTGATGCACCTGTCCTTGTTGCATGTGCCGCGTGATAGCCGCGTGGCTCGGGGCATATGGGTCCCCACACGCTCGATGTATTTCCAAGACCCTCCCCCGCAGCCTGTGGATCCTTGTCCTTGTTGATGCATCAAGTTCGCCATTCCCCAGTCACTGGCCTCTGGGGTCCCTCGCTCCTTTCGTGGTCCGGCCAGTTGACCCCGAAATGGGTCTGAACTCGCTCCGGATGTTCTGAATCTTGAGCAGCCCGGGGCGCGAGCAGGGAGGGCTTGGCCCGAGGCAGGCGCGCCGGAAGAATTGACGCCCGGCGGGGAACCCTGCCAGCGGTTCCCACCCGGCGCGCGGCCTGGCCCACGGGTCAGGCCGCGAGTCGCCCCAGAAAATGAGTGACCGTCGCCACGGGGGCGCGAGGGGGGGCGGGCTACGGGCGCACATTGCCGCAGGTTCGGCCACCGGCGGGCCGATGTGATCGGCCTCCCCCCCCCCCCCCCCCCGCCCCCACAGGCTCATGCACCGCAGGGCCATGAGCGCCGGGCGTCGGAGCGGGGGACTACCGGCGGCAGGGAGGCCGAGGAGCCACAAACACCCGCGGCTGCTGCCAATGTACCGGCTGCTTGCGGATAATATTCCCTCGGGGCTGGGGCGGGGAGCAGAGACGGGCGGCCGGGGCATTTGGTGCTGCAGCACGATGTGCACGCGTGCGCCTGCGGGGGCGGGCTTTCGGGCACTTCTCCGAGCGGGCCCCCTCCCCCACTCCGGCAGGAGCGGGACTGGGCCGCGAGGAGGGAGGCGAAGGGTGGGCGCGGGTCTCCCTCGCCCCCCAGCGTGTGTGCCCGGCGCTTCCGCGGTGGGGAGGGGGGGGGGGGACGAGGGCCGGGAAGAGAAGGCCCCGCGCGCGGCGCCATATTTCCGGGGTGTGAATCCCCGGCCGCAGGCAGCCCGCCCATGACCTAGACCGTTACGTGCTGGCTTGAGCGCGCGTCCGTGGTGCTCGCGGCGTCGTCCGGCCCGGGGGAGGCGAGGATCGGCGCGCGGCGGGCTGGTGCCGATTCGAGGGAGGCGCAGGAGGTTCGGCGCGCCTTTTCTCGGCCCCCGGGGGGATCAGGCCATCCGCCCCCAATCCCCAAGAAGGCCCTTCCCCCAGGGGGGGGGGGGGGGGGCGCGCGCGGGCGCCTCGGCCCCCGACGCCCCCCAGCCGCCCGGCGGGGTGCCCGGGAAATGCCCCGCGGCGAGGCTGAAGAGGGGCGCCGGCGCCCCGGCGCCGGAGACACTAGCGACATGGGCCCCGGGCTGGTGTCGCCGGAGGGTGGCCGGCACTGGCGTGGGGGAGGGCGCTGGGCCCGGGAGCGTGTTGGCCTCTCAGTCATCGGCCTGAGCGGCGAGCCGGCCCGGCTGGCAGCGGGGCGAAGTCATGGGCCGAGGGGGGAGGGCGACACTGGTTTGGGGGCGGGCCGGCGGGCATTCACGAGCCAGCACGCGTACGCGTGGAGGAGAGGCTCTGCTAGTCATTGTATGGGGATATTGAGGCGTGGCGGCGAGCGGTGCCGAGTGTGAGCAATTCGCGCGGAGGCCTGGGGATGGCGCGTGGCCGAGGGCTGGCGCCGGCCATGGGGCCGGGAGAAGATGCCCAGAAAGAGGCCAGCCCTCCTGCCCAGGCGAGCACGCCGGCCCTCTTGCAGCGGCCGTCGTTGCCGAAGTCGCCGCCGGTGGCCGCAGTTGCAGCCGCAGCCGCAGCCGCAGCCGCAGCTGTGCCGCCGCCGGGGGACTCTCCCCAGCATTATGTAAGAATCGCGTCAGGGACCAGCCGCTCGGAGGCCCGGGCACAGCGCAGGGGCGCCCCTGGCATCCCGGGGGCGGGCCCGTTTGCTTCCCCCTCTCCCCGCGGTGGGAGCCTGTTTGACGGCAAACGGGGCATTGCGTGTCCCATGTCGGGGAGGTCTTGGAAATAAATGGGTGATTATGATATTCGGGCTTTTTGCTTTGGAGGTCTGTCCGGTCCTGATCTTGTCCCTGGTCTTCGGGCGCGAGGCCGTCCCTGCGTGAGAGGGCTCTTGCAGAGGCATTTCTCGTGCTGGCGCGGAGGGCGGCGGGGGGGCCTGTTCCTCAGGGCTTTTCGGCGAGCCCGGAGGCGTGCATGTCCACCGACGGGTCGGGCGCCAGGCCAGGCGAACCCGGATCCCTCCCCCACCCCCCGGAACAGCATTGGTTGTGTTCGGGTACGGCCGTATGCCGCCCGGGGGTCGGGAGCAGGAGAGAATGGCCGACGAGAGGGCGCCGGCAAGGGCGCCTGCCAGCCATTAGTCAAACGCGCCCAGTGCATGCGCGCTATGTGTCAATCGATGTGTGTCACCCGGAAAGGCGTCATGCCCCGGGGGCGGGCTCCCCCCGCCCCCTTCTCTCTCTCTCTCTCTTCCCTCTTGGAGGCCGAGGGTCCCCGGGGGTGAGCATGCCGGGTCGCAGGCGGGCGGGCGGGCGGGGGAGGGGGGGGGAGGGGGGCAGGGGCCGGGCGACGGGACTGCGCCCGAGGCAGCTTGTCCGGCCGGGCATACGTCCTCCGGGCCCTGTTCCTTGGTGGTGTTGTCCCCCGCGCCGGCCCCTCCACTCCCCCCCGTGGAGGGAGGCGTCCGTGAAGGGCGGCATGCTGCCAGGGTGTGGCTCTTAATTCCGTCGGTTCACGCGAATGCGCCGGGCCGTGGTACGCCCGGCGCGGCCGCGCCTCAGCGTGCGTTGCCTCCGTCGGCAATCCCCCCCATGTGTCTAGACTGTGTCTGGCGGTCTTTGTCCCAAGGCCGGGGGGCGGGGGGGGGGGGGGGGGCCGACAAGGCGGCCGGGGTCCGCACCCCCAAGGGTGGCCTTACGGACGAGGGCCAGAGGGCCGTGTGCGCAGGCGCTCACATGTGGCCCCCGGGTGCAGGCGGCTATGTGCCCCATGCCTGCTGGCCCCCGTCCTCGCTGGGGCTTGCGCTGCGCCCCTGACCGCCACCAGAGGTCTGTGTCTGTGTGTGTGTGTGTGCAGGACGCGAGAGCAGGTCTCTCTCTCTCTCTCTCTCTCTCTCTCTCTCTTTCTCTCGTGCAGGCCAGCAGTGAGCTCCCCGGGGCGTCGAGCGCGTGACCGGCCGTTTTTGGCGGCTCTTTTTCGCCGGACCCTCTACCCCGGGATCCTCCCGGCGCTTGGCTTTTGGCATCTAGTTCCCCGGGTTCGCGGCAGAGGCGCATTTCCCCCGGCCCCTCCTCCTCGGCCCCCAACGAGACACCGTGCCTCGGGGCCGGGGCCGGGGCCGGGG